AAAAGTTGCCATGTTCCCCTTTAAAGCTGTGCAGCAAGACACTTCTAGAGACAAAGTGGTGCCTTCACATTCTATATGAGCTGTACATGTCCCTGAAGAAAAATAAATACATAAAACACGTCAATAAATCATTAAAAAGAAGCTGTCAACAATCTGTCAGCATAATAAGTGCAGGGTTATAATTCTGGGTTTTATTATGAGTTAAGACACATTCTTACTATTTTTTTTTCTCCGAACAACTTTAGGTTTTCTTTTCATGAAACAAGAATAAATAACTAGTAATCGTTACAATCTCAGTTATTTTAGATTAGATTTTTTGTATGCTGTATGTTTGTGACTGAAGTTGCAAATGTAACAACAAATTGCTAAAGGATAAGGTTTGTGTTAATCTATATTTTTTCTTATTGTCAACAAATGCCACGAAAAGACTAAAACTAAAAATCTGTCCATCTTTAACAGTTTCTGAATTTATTACCTTGTCTGTAGCTCTCAGCCCCAGGCCTACATTTTCTTAGTAAAGACTTTTTATTGATTTGATCTATCTATTACTACTACTTATAGGTCACTACTGTAACTACTTTTGTTGTATTGGCCCAGAAACAACCAATGTTTTTTTTGTTTGAAGACCATTTTATGCCACACATATGATGATAAGCATAATAATGCAATTCCCCCTGTTGAAAGAGCAATTTTAATTCTTAAGAATATTCAGACATTAGAATGGGGATGTGAAAAAAAATCCTGGATAAATAAAACAAATTAACCCTACAACCAAAACAATAAATAAACAGAAATTAAACTTAAATAAATATTAAGCATTTGGCACAGGGGTAGGCTATAGAGTAATTTATACCTTACCAGGCAATACAGTAATGGTAAGGAAAACCCTGCTGTTTATTCTGGCATCATGTCTGCTAAAATGTTGGTTATATTATTAAATGATGAGTCGATATTGTGATGGGCTATAATTACATATTGTATACATCGTACGTCAGTTGGGGTTGGGACCCCCACTGGGAGGTTGTGAGGCCTTCTTGATTTTAAGGCATGTACGAAAACTACATACATACAATACACACAGTAGGCCTATATCTCAGCATTAGGTTCATTTCTGTGAAGAAAAATAAATGTAAATTAAATTGTTCAGTTTTTGTCATGGGTAGTCAGTTTATTAAATGATAGAAAAGGAGTCCTTTAAGGAAATAGGTTGGGAACCACTGCAATAAGTCAATAACATAATTACTGTAACAGGAATTGAAGTGTGACGTTTAACAGGGTTAGTGTATTCATAATATAGAAAAGTAAGAAAGCAATTATAATTCTTACTTGGCTTTGTGATTATAGCTAAAGCATAAAGGGATAAACAGAATAAAGAAAAAGCTAAATCAGTTGAAACAAGCTTGTGCAATCAGCAAGACCTTAATCAGCTGTTCCTCCCCCATCTCCCACTTTACAAACAACATGTAGAAGTTCTGTTTCCCACCCACAGACAGCTTGGAGGCGACCAGAATGTTTCAGCTCCA